AGTGAGTTCCCCTCTTCTTTCTGAGACCCAGCTCAGTCATCTGTAAAATGGAATCTAATGGCACCTCCCTGGCCACTCTCCAGGGTTGTTGTGAGGATGAAATGAATCAATGCATCCAAAAAGCATCTGATAGCTGTGAGGAGCTGGACAGGAAAAGGGAATCATATTACCACGACTTGGGGCCAGGATGGGCCTTCCCGAGCCCTCCAATCACAGCACAGTAGACAGTAAAGCCACCTCCTTTTAAATCTTACAGCCACCCCGCGGGGAAGGGAGCCCTGAGGCCTCTTTCATCTTTAGCTCCACCCCCTGCCCTCTGTTTGCCTTCACAAAGAAACACCTTCTCCATCTTACCAGAGACCCCCAGGGCCCCGTGACTCATTAGCCCCGCCAATCTCTCCATCTCCAGTTCTCCATTTGGGTGACAATGGGGCTTCTGAGACCTAAAGAGATGAGGTGACCTGCTCAGTGTCTCACAGCACACCTGAATGTCAGCTCCCCAGTCCCCAGAGGTGGCCCCAGCTCTTCCTGAGGGGACTGCTCTTTTCCTTTCCCTTCTGTTCCAAAGCTCCCTCTCCTTTCAAGCACAAACAACCCCTTTGATGCTTCCACATCCCAGAAGTGCTGGGGTTGAATTTCCTTCACTCTGACAGCTGTCCTTCTCATAGTGACAAATGCGGGCTGGCCAGTGCTGATGTCGGAAACATGGTGTGGACACTCATCCCTACTCTCCCTCCAACTCCACAGCCATTCTGCTGCAGGACACGCTTATTTTGCCTCTTGTGCAAGCCCCAATATTCCAAGAAAGCTCTCCATAGTTCCCCATCAGAATGAAGCTCTCCAGCCAGGGACAGTGGCACATGCCTGGAATCCCAGCTGCTCTGAAGGCTGAGGCAGGAGGATTGCCAGCCTCAGCAAATTAGTGAGGCTCTAAGCAACTCAGTGAGACCCTATTTCTAAATAAAATACAAAAAAGGGCTGGGATGTGTCCCAGTGGTTAAGCGCCCGCCCCTGGTACCAAAAAGAATAAGAAAACAAACAAACAAACAGTATGATGCTCTCTGCTCCAGGGCCTCTGGATTCCAGGCCCTGTTGCCACTTGACTCCTGTTTGCTTGGTGGGTGGGAGCTGCTTGCATGCTGGTGCTCAAAACCGTGTTTCTTGGACTGGGGATATAGCTCAGTGGGTAGAGCGCTTGCCTTGTATGCACAAGGCCCTGGGTTCAATCCCAGCACCTGTGTGTGTGTGTATGTATGGGTGTGTATGTGTGTGTATGTATGGGTGTGTGTGTGTGTGTGTATGTATGTGTGTGTGTCTTGAATTGGATTGAGCCTGAGGCTAGCTAGGTGATTCAGGGTCACATACCTGGACTCCAGGATGTCAAACCTCGATGACAGTCCCCCAGCAAAGGAAAGGAATGGAGAAGAAGGAACAGAGACCCCTCTGCCGTCCCTTCTCTTTGGCTGCCATGTTGCCATCTCTTGAATGTTCCCATCCTTGACCCTGCCTGCCCCTCCCTGCCCCTTCTCATGAGTTCATTTAATGACCAATGGAAACCCCTGTCTTCCCACCTCCGGTCTTACCACCTCCAGAGACCAGAGAGCCAGACCCAGACCAGCCAGAGACACCCAGATCTTTCTAAAGGGTTTGCTCTAAGTGTTTCTTCAGTAAGATGGAATTGCTACAAAAACAACCAAGGTAAGGCAACAAAGGAACCTTCAGGCTGGGAGGTTGTCAGGGTGAAGAGCCTGGGCACCCGGAGGGAGCTTGTGGAATCTCCACTGGGTGCTATTGGAGGCAGAGTGCTCTTGCTGGGCCCAGGATACTTCACTTCATCTGGACAGTCAGCCTTGCAGGGGAGGGGACTGAAGCCAGGATTGGGTTGACAGGGAGGGAGCACTCTGCTCTTCCCCACCCAGATTGCCCTTCTGGCTGTCTGGGTGACTCAGGACTTGCCAACAGGTCTGGATGTGCTGGGACAGGTCCCAGCCTCCCCTCCTCCCCCCACACCATCCCAGCAGGCCTGATGGGGCTGTCTCCTCCTCCTGTCTGTCTGAGGGTTGACTGCAATTCTTCTGGCCAAGGGTTTGCTGCTGGCCACTTACTTACCCAAGCCCCGCCAAGTCCTGGTCCCAGGCAGCTTAGACCCCTTCCTGGGAGCCCTAGATGGCTCCCCTAGGGGAAGGTCTGGGGGCACTGGGGACACTGAGCCTCACCATTGTGCTACTAGGTGGTAAGTTCAGGCATTGAAGCCAGGGCGCTCTGCCACTGAGCCACATCCTCAGCCCTTTCTATTTTTTATTTTGAGACAGGATCTCACCAAGCGGCCAAGGCTGGCCTTGAACTTTTGATCCTCCTGCCTGGGCCTTCCAAGTCACTGGGATTACAGCCGTGCACCACTCCAGCAGGTGACACCCAGGCTTCTCGATGCCAGTTCCTGCTCTCTTTCCTAGACCTCAGGTTTAGGATCAGGTCTAGAAGAAGGAGGCCCTACACACTGATAACCTTGTGAGGCTCGGGTCATGGCAGTTGGCCTGGGCCAGGCAGGCCTCATCCAGTCCAGTCAAGCTGGGCCAGCATTGGCTACTGAGGGGAAAGGCCTCTGGGAATAAACAGCTCTTAGCCCCCAGGGAAGAGGAACTGTGAGGGCCTCTACTGAGCCTTCAGGGGTCATAGGCTGAGACTCATTACGTTTCTATGGGGTCAGCCCTGGACCTCTCCAACAAGTTCTGTGCCTTAACATCCACGGGTTCAAGGGTGAGGAGTAGTAATAACTGCCTGGGGTTATCCCACGACATTCCAGGCACTGCGCCAGTTTTGACATGCAATGTCATGTCTCCTGCGCCCAAATCTGTGAGCCAGTGTTGTCCCATTGTGATCAGCAAATGAAGTTTTCTGATCTGAGATCAGCTGGAACCTCATCAAAGGTGAGTAGAGTAAGGACTTTGATCCCAGGTCCCTTAATATTGGGATCCTCATGTATAATTAATTAGAACAAATTTTAAAAAAATTTTTTAGATATTGGATCCTATCTTCACTTAAGGCCCTGGCCATTAAGGGAAATTAAGCCTGCCGCAGAGATGGCTCCCGGTGTCCTGGCCCAGCTCTCTTCCTGTACTCCCTTATGACCCCAACATCTCCTCCCCTCCTTCCTTCTGCAGCCTAGAACCACTGGGAGGACCCTGGGCTGTCATGTGGGTCCCCTCCTGCTAGCCTGCACTGTCTGCTGGCTTCAGTGTTTGCCAGGGTGGCACCTGCTGGCGTGCCCCTGGTCCACAAGGCTGCAGGGGAGATCAGCTCTGTCCAGGCGCAGTGGACATGTCCCCACCAGGCCAGCCACCCGCCTGCTCAGTGCTGCTGGAGCCATGGGGCCCCAGGCAGAGATGCAGTCTCAGCTGCCCCCAAGTCCGGGGACCTGACTGCATGAAGTGTGCCTGTCGGCTGAGCCCTGAGGGGCAGATGCTCTGGGAAGGGCCTGCCTGTTGGTCCCGCAGAGGGGACAACTCTGATGCAGTGTCTTATTCCATGTACCCTGGGTGAGAGCAGGTGACAGGGCCTGAGTCTGGGCAGGTCACCCCATTTTTACACAGGGAGTGGAGACTAAATAAACAAGGAAGAATTAGTGGCCGTTGGAGGAACAAAGTCTTGTGTGGCAGGGCTTCACTGGATACCCCATTGTCGCGATGAGGTCAACACAAGCTAGTGCTCTCCCCTACTGGATGCAGAAAATGTAGCTGGGGCTGACCGGCTCCCCCGCCCCAGGATCAGCCAAGAATGGCCCCCTCCCCTCCCTCCTCCCTTTCAGTGGGGACTGTGCCCGGTGGTGACATTTAAGAGCCAATTCAGGGGAAGGCACCTGACCTTGGGGAAGAATGTGGGAAATGTCTGAAGCCTGAAGGGGCCACCCCCCCTGGGGCCCAGGAATGTGGGCTCTGGGCCACCTGGGGCCCCCAAGGGAAGTGTGTGCATTCGTGGTTGAAAGAGAAGTAGGGAAGCAGGGTCCAGGAAGGACTTTGTCTGAGGGCCTGGAAAGGTCACCTGGTGAAATTCCTGCATGGTGCAGAGGGTGAAGTCCAACAGTCATCGTGGCCCTCCCTGCGGCCTCTCCAATCCAGTTAGGGCACTGTCCTTGACTCCTGACCTCTCCTAGAGGGCACAGATAGTTTCACTTTTGACTTGTCCAATGCACAGAACCACAGCATGTCAGGGAATCTTCAAAGGTAGCAGGGACTACAACCATGCTGTTTTACAGATGTGGACACTGAGGACCCGAGGTGGGGCAAGTTGGCTTCACATGCACTAATTATAGGCCAGGACTCAGGGTCCTGTGCTCTGGGCTGGGTGCTTTTCCCACACACACCCCTCTCATGATGTTAGAGATGAGCATGTCCCCTTCTCAGGAAGGAGACTTGGTGGCTTCTTCCAAACTCCCATGGGGGTTCCTGCTGGGAATCTAGTGCTTTCTGGGCTGCCAGGAGTGGGTGCTGCAGCCACAGAACAGAAGCTGAGGGCCTGGCCTCTATGCAAAAGACCATGGTCCACTTGGACAGCAGGTGCTCTATGCCCCAGCTAAATGGCATTAGCAAGGCTAAGCTACCCTCAGCAGGTGCCCACTTGGAGCTGAACCTTGAGGAAGGGTTTGGAGTAAGCACTCTGCTGCCCTCTCCTGGCCACACTTGGGCATGACTGCTGTCATTCAGGCCTCCCGTTGTTCATCTGCACCAAGCTAGAGGAATCTCCCAATTTCCCTCCCCCTGGAAAGGCGCTCCAGGAGGGGTGGACTGGGTGGGTGTCATATCACTTAGGCCAGAGTGTTGGCTGCACAAATCAAGGTGGGAAGGGCAGATAGATGATGCCTTGTCACCAATGTTGGGTCCTGAAGGAAAAAGGCTCTGGCCAGCAAGAATCGCTCAGCCTGTGCTACCCAGAGTGCTTTGGGGTGGGGGAGAGACTCAGAGGTTCCCATGGAGACCACTTAAATCATTCAACACCAGACAGGATGGTTTGAAAATTTAGAGGATATTTATTTTTTGGGAAGGTCCACAACAGCTGGCAGGCACTGCTTTCCCTGCTCCAGGGGATTCCTCGCTCTTGTTCTGAGAAATCCCCTCTGTGCTTGGAAGTGCCATGGGGAGGCTGGGATGGGACAGAAACCATACACAACACTCCAGAGCCTTAAAAAAAAGAAAGCAACACACAACCTCCTCCCCACAAATACACACGTACAAAATAAATAGACATATAAAAGAGAGGCCACGCTTCTCCCACCCAGCCAGGACTGCGGGGGAGAGTGGGGCTGGGTGGCTGCCCCCCACTTCTCCCAGGATTATGCAGAGGCTATATGGCATGGAGGTGCCGATGAGCTGAGAATAAGCCCTGGCTTCAGAGGGAGGGCAGGGCAGGTCCTCTCCCCGGAGCTCAGTGGGACAGATGTGGGGGTAAGGTTCTAAAGGAAAAAATAAATAAATAAATAAATAGGACCCAATGTGTTCCCAAAGGCCAAAGGGCTTGGACTGAGACTCAGGGCCTCTGGGGCCCCGTTTCCCTGAAAATAGCAGTGACAGGCAGGCAGAAAGACTAGCAGGGAAAACAAATCCAAAGCCACACCCCGCCCAGCCTCCAGAGCCAGCCTCCTGCAGATCCTGAAGGGCCCGTTCAGAAGCCAGCCTCAAAGCAGCTCTGGCAGGAAGGGGTGGGCTCAACTCCTGAGTAGCCACTCTGAGCTTGCTCTCTGGCCCTAGAGATACCAAAGGCCATGGACCCTCCCCTTCCTGTGCCAGCAGGGACCAGCACAGCCTCCTCCTCTGGGACCAGCACAGCCTCCTCACTCCCTTGCTTGGAACTGTGGCTGTCTCCAGGGTGAGCTCTTCCCCAGGAAATTCGAGGCAGAGCTTTTGCCTTCTCCTGTTCTTTGTGGCCTTCCTGACGTGGGGCATCCTGAGGTCAGCTGGGAGAAGTCCTGTTTGACTGTAGGTCACCAAAGCAATCCAGTCCCAGTGTCCACCTCGGCTCCACTTGGCCACAAGTGTCCCCACGGTCTCCAGCCAGGGTCATACTCTCAGCCCCCTCCAGGACAAGAGGGAGAGGGTGTCAGACAGAAGGAAGTATGGAAAAGGGGCAGGAGCCGTTGGAATGGACAGTTTGGGCAGGAGGCCAAACCAGACACACAAAAAAGTCCGAGGGACTCAGGAGTCCCAGAGTCCCTCCTGGAGCTGTGTGGCCACTGGGGGCCAGAAAGCATGGAGCAGGGGCAGGCTGGCCGCTCAGCTGGGCAGCAGCACGTGTTCCAGGAGGTAGGTGAGGGAGTCCCAGTGCTTCCAGAGGAGGAAGAGGACGAGGACCAGGAGGGCGGTGCTGGTGATGCGCAGGCGAGTCTTCATGAGGGGCGTGATGAAGTTGGCAATGGTGGACACGAAAACCAGCAGCACAGCCATGAGCGCCAGGATCACGTTGATGAACTTGCCCAGCAGCGCCCGCGCGTTGGCATTCTCCACGCCCTCCAGCTGCACCACCTGCTGCTGCTGCTGCTGCAACTCCAGCTTGGTGACTCGGGTCAGGCAGGACTCCACGGCCTCCTGCAGGGGTGCAGGGGAGCTCAGCACGGGTGGGACCTCGAGGGGGAGCCCCATCCACCTGCTGGATAGGGTTTGAATGTGCCCTCCTGGGGCTCAGGGTTTGGAAGCTTGGGGCCCAATGTGGCCATGTTAGAGGGACTAGTGCAAGGCAACTGGGTCCCTTGGGTGCTGCCGTTGGTAGAGACTAGAGTGAGTTTCTTAGAGTGAGTTCCTGAGAGTGTGGGTTATTACAAAAGAACAAACGTGAGCCTGAATCTCTCTGCCTTTCTGCCTCACCATGTGATCTTTTCTACACAGCCCCTGCCATTGGGATGCCACCAGGCCCTCATCAGAGCCAGTAATATATTCTTGGACCTCCAGATCTTGAGCTAAATAAACCTCTTTTCTTTACAAACTACCCAGCCTCAGGCATCTTATGGCAGCAACATAAAACCGACCAATACATACCACCCCAGGATCTAGGAGGGGTGCAGAGTGATCAGTTGCAGCTGGGGGAGAGCCCTTTATGGATGAATTTTGGGGGAGGGGGGAGGATGCTAGGAAATGGGAAGGTGAGAAGCTGGCCCAATCCCAGCTCCCTCTGAGGCAGGCTGATACCTGGAAATGCCAATTACTCATTTGTAAGACTGCCATCAAAGAGGTGGGGGGCATGGGTGGCCCTTGCCTCTGCACAGTGCACCCCCTTGGCCGCAGCCCGCCCTGCCCTTATCTCCACCTCCATGCTGCCCTCTCTAGCCCTGTGCCTATCTGTCCTGGATCATGTAACAGTCTGTCCCATCATCCCCCAAGTGAGAAAAGCCCAGCCCTCTGGCTGCTCCACTGGCACATCTGGGACCTCGTCAGGGTGACTCTGGCCGTACCTGGATGTCCCGAGCCCTCTCATAGGACTGGTAGGCCACCTTCTCCTCCATGCTGGCCAGCTCCTGCTTCAGGTTGGTCATCTCGTTCTGGTGAAGCTCGGTGAGGTCATTGAGCTGCTCCTCTAGCCGCTCGTACCTGGCAGCAGGAGAAGCAATGACACCAGTCCCAGCTCCCAAGCCATCCTTCTGTCCCCAGGATTGGCTCATTCAATCTCTCAGCAAACAATGACCGAACTCACGCAGTGTGTCCAGTCCTGTTCTAACTTTAACCCCACGACAGAAGCCATGATGCATACACTTCCACATGCAGGCACTGAGCTAAGCAATTTGCCCGCATCACCACATAAGATTCTCACCACAACCCCATGAGACAGTACTGGGGTCATCCCCATTTGAGAGATAGGAGGACTAAAACAGAGAGGTTAAATAACCTGCCTAGGATCACACAGCTCACACATGGAGGAGTTAAGGATTGACAGACTTTAACCTGGGCTCTGGGTGACAGGGACACCTGCATTTGGAGGATATGATCCCTGCTCTGAAAGGTACAAAATATCAAAAGACGACTGCTAAGTGGCAGTGGTTGGTTTTTAGATGGGATTCCCTCTCAATTTCCTTCTTTACATATACAGAAGAAAAAGTGCTAACTACAGAAAAGATCCCCTCAAGTCCCAGGGGGGAAGTGGCAGGTGCCAGAGACTATAGGCACAGAGCAAAGAGCAAAGCAGGCCAAGGGAAAGGAAGGACCCATACTCCTGCTCAATTGCAGGCTGACCTTAGGAGCTTCCACTGGATGTTTAAACTTTCTGTGTCACATATTTACACACTTTAAACTTACAATTTGGACATTCAGTGTTTACAGTGATCCTCTGAGGTCAGGATTAACATTATCCTCACTGTGAGGACAGGGAACCCACACACACAGTGTTGATTGCCTTGCTCAAGGTGCACAGTAAATAAAAGAGCAGGGATTTGAACTTGGGTGGCTGGCTCCAGAGTCCCTCCTGGGGACAGGACCCTGCCTCAGTCTCCTTTCCTGTGCACTAACCCCATAGCAACTCAGGCAGAGATACCTAAAGCATCTTGAGGTAGACAGAATCCCCAGGAGTCTATCTCCCTCCTGCCCTGATCAGTCTGGGGGAAGCTCCTTGGGCCCTTTTTCTGCCCCTCCCAGCAGCCAGGATCCTTCTAGATGCTTCTCCTTCAGCCTCCATACCCCGGCTCAGGCGGTCCGCTGGGCAGAAGCAGAGCCCTGCAGACACCTACCTGTAGCGCTCCTCCTGTAGGCACTGGGTCATGTAGGAATAGTCCCTCTGCAGCTGAGTCTTCATGTCCTCCATGGAGTCCTCCAGGTGCGACTGTCCGTCCTTGATCTCCCGCAGCTCCTCTAGCAGAGTGTCCAGGTTTCCGGGGGCTCCGTACAGCGTATTGGACTTGGGGCTTCCTAGCGCGCCCCCAGGCCCCGCCCCAGAGTTGCTGCCCGCCCCTGCGGAGCTGGCGCTGGCGCTGGAGCACTCGTCATCGCTGCCATACTTGGGGCTGGACACAAGGGTAGCGCTGCCACTCAGGGCCCGGGACGCCTCCTCTGGGGGCCCGTCTTCCAGGGGGTCCTTCAGGTGGGCAATGTTGTCGGCGCTGCCGAACTTGTTGCGGATGAGGCTGGCGAACTCCCGGGGCTTGGACACCACGGCGCTGTGGGTGGCCTGTGAGAGGCCAGACAGGCTGCCCTTGACGCCCTCCACCACGCCGCCCCCAAAGCCGCTGATGCCCGCGCGCACGTTGGCCCCCACGTCCTTCAGCCCCTGCTGCATGTCCCGCAGCACGTCCTTGGGCTGCCGCGAGGGCCCGTTCTGCTCGATCTCCTTGAGGCGCCGGCGGTAGTGCTCCAGCTTCTTGTGCAGCTGCGCGATGGTCTGGGCCGACTTCTGGTTCTTCTTCTCGAACACCTGCTTGATGCGGGACACCTGCTGCTTGTCCGCGTTGTTGGCCAGCTTCAGGTACTCGGCCACGTTGTCGTCCCGCGCCTCCTGCTCGATCTTGATCTGCTCGGTGATCTTCAAGATCTTCTGATGCAGGTGGTCGATGGCGGCCTTGGTCCGCTGGGGGTCTGGTGCCCCATCTGGCACGTCCAGGCTGATGGGACCATCAGTGTCACCATGGCCGGAGCCGGAGGGAAGGCTCAGGGACACGAGGTCTCCCTTGTCGCCCTAGGGAAGGAGGCAAGCAGAGGAAGCAGGGATAAATCACGAGCCCACAGTAAGGGCTGGCAGGATTCTCTCCTGTAGCCATGGAGACCTCTGGAACTTGGTTTCTCTACCTGCCCCAGCACAGGGACCAAGCAGGTGAGACTGGAAAGTTGTGTGGTTGGTTTCTTGGGGATGAGATCACCCTCCCCAGAAAGCCCCTCTCTGAGCTGACCAAAGCTTGCACTCTGGCCCCAAGCCTCCCTGCCCTCCCACCTTGTCCTTACTAACCCAGCAGAGAGCAGGTCACCTGCCCCTGCTGACCCTTCTCCCACACCCCTCTGTTACCTTCCAGCTCTCTGGAGTCACCAGCAACCTTTTCCGCTTCATGATACAGGGCGCACTCTGCCCTGACCTGTCTCCCAGAACTGGGAGAGAAGCATGCACCCACCCGCCCTACCAGCCAGGTCCCCGAGGACTCAGGTCCCACAGAGGTAACTCACAGGCCAAAGGATGCTGGGAGCAGTCTGGGGTCTGAGGGTACCTGCTGCTCAGCTGCCTCTCCTCCCCAGCAGGCAGGCGAGCTTCCCCAGCACATTAGGGTGGCACAGAATTTGGAGAGGCAAAATAGAGGGATTGAGAAAGGATGAGAGGGAGGATAGAAAAGAAGGAAAGGTCACAGGAGATAGGAAAGACAGAACGCCAGGCTGGATGTGCAGGCAGGCCTGGAGTGGGTGCTCAGGGACTGCTGCCCCCAGGCCTCCTGGACCATCTCTGTCCACAGCAGAGCCCCAGCGCCTTATCACCATGAAACAGAAGCAGCAGGAAACGACTCAACCCCATATATTTTTACACATAGCACATCCCAAGTAAGACCGGGTCAGATCATTAGGGGGACAGGGGTGGGTGACTCTTTGTGGAGGAAGGAGTTAAACACAAAGAAAGTGGCCCAGTCACATGCACTGGGACCGGAAACAGTCCTTGCCAACTACAGGCATAAGTCACTTGCTCCATATCTGCCAAGACGCAAAGTTATTGGAAAACACTATTGAAAACAATAGCTCTGCAAAACCCAGGAGCCATGGGTGGGTGGCTCCCCTGTGGGCTTCCTCTGGGGCTTTTGTAGGTCACAGGTTCTCCAAGGATGCTTACAACTAGGACCGTCCTCCTTCCCAATCTCTCCTGAAGTCAGGAATTTCCCCTTGGTTTGCTTTGGGTCTCTGCTCATGTCCTCTGGCCCTCCCGCCAGGTGTCTGCACCTTCAGGCCTCTGCTCCTCGCAGTGTCTGACCTATCACACCTAAGAGGCCCCCTCCACAGCCTCCCTTCAGTGATATCCCAAGGTCAAACTTGTCTCCCCAGTCTGATTTAAAAACCCATGCTCTGGATGGCTCCTTGCGGTGATGGCAAACTGCTCATCTCAATTTTCCTGACCCTCAATGTTCTCGTCTGTAAAATGGGCAAAATCATATCTACTCCTAGGGATGAGGGTTGTGACTCAGTGGTACAGCGCTTGCCTAGCACCCGTGAGGCACTGAGTTCGATCCTCAAGCACCACATAAAGATAAAATAAAGGTATTGTGTCCACCTGCAACTAATATATATATATATGTATATATATATATATAATTTTTTATATATATATTTTTTTTTTTTTTTTTTTTTTTTAATCTACTCTCAAGTCTTCTGGAGGGTTACCCGTAGTTCACTGCATATAGGTAACCCCATGTACAGATTTTGTGCCAATTTTTTTTTCAAAAACAAAAAACGTGTGACCAATATGAGAAACTTTTTAAAAAATACCTTTATTTTAATTTATTTTTATGTGGTGCTGAGGACTAAACCTAGGGCCTCGCGCATGCTAGGCGAGCACTCTACCGATGAGCCACAACCCCCCACCCCCATGTGAAGCTTTTTTTTTTTTGCGGTGCTGGGGATTGAACCAAGGCCTTGTGCATGCAAGGCAAGCACTCTACCGACTGAGCTACATCCCTAGCCCTCCGATGTGAAGCTCTTTAAAAAAAAAATTTTTTTTTTTAGTTATAGATGGACACAATGCCTTTATTTTGTTTTTTTGTGGTGCTGAGGATTGAACCCAGTGCTTCACACGTGCTAGGCAAGCATTCTACCACTGAGCCACAACCCCAGTCCTATGTAAAGTTTTTTAAAAAATGGTGCTAATATTGCTTAAAATTATTATTAGTAAATGCCTTTGGTGCAATATTAGGATGCATGGAATACCCAAGAACAAATATTAATGCAGTGGTGATGCTGTTGTGGTGAAATACAGTAGAGATAATGTCCTGCAGCACTTAGCAAAGTGTAGAACACACAGAAGGCACTCATGAAAGGCTGAGTCTGGATCTAGGCAGTATAATCCTTTTGTATCCTGGTATGTGTGTGTGGGGGTGCCTGTGGCCTAAATTTATTTAAAAGATTATACCAATAAACTTATTCAAGTATTGAGCAAAATTAAGTTCTGTTTATTGTTCGGTGTTGAGGATTGAATCCAGGGCCTCCTGTACACTAGACAAGAGCTCTACCACTGAACTACAGCCCCGCCTCCAAAATACAGTTCTTTATTGAACATGTGGCCTTGACTACTAAAGAACTTGGCCTTGTCCTAATTACAGATGCCCAAACCTCTTCCTCCCTTCCTGGGGAAAAGACTCTCCAGTAAACAGGTTTCATTTTTGTTTTTGTTTTTTTGTACCAGGGATTGAACCCAGGGGTGCTTAACCATGAGCCACATCCCCAGCCCTTTTTTTATGTTTTATTTAGAGACAGGGTCTCACTAAGTTGCTAGGCCCTTGCTAAGTTGCTGAGGCTGGCTTTGAACTCGTGATCCTCCTGCCTGAGGCTCCCCAGCCACTGGAATGACAGGCATGTACCACTGCGCCTGGCCTCCAGGAAACAGGTTTTTAATCTGGCTGCATTACTGCCATTTGCTCTGTAACTGGAAAGGGAACAGACTTGATCCAACTCCTGATGAGAAATGGATGCAAAAATGCTATGGAAAAGGAAGGTGCCCGAGGACTCCATCCAAGTGGAAAAGAGCAAATCCCTCCCTGGCGGCTTGGCTCTCTCCTCCTTCCGTTTGGCATCTGTCTGGCTTAAAAATGAAAAGCAGAGTTAAAGCTGGCTGTGGAATCCCCATGAATGAGAAGACGCTGCTGGGGCCTGGTGGTGGGGTGGCCTGGGGCTAGGGTTCTGTTCCCCTCGCCCATACCTCATCTCTACCCACTGGCCCAGACTGGAGCCTGGGGTCCTGCCCTGCCACAGGACATCAGCTTTTTCTTGTCCCTTCTTCCTGGAGACCCCCTTGGTGACACAGGATCTTCGATGATGCTGGTTCGGGCATCAGAGGATATCCCCACTGTGCTCTCTGGGGGAGGATTCTTAGCATCTTTTCCTTTTGTCCCTTCAATCCCCAAGCTCTTCTCTTCCCTTTGGATGACTGTTCTACATGCCTTGACCAAAGAATAAAGGTAACAACAATTCCTACCACTGCTCTCCAAGGGCTCATGAGCCCCAAGTGCTTTACACAGATGAATTATGTGTAAAGCCGGGAGGCAGCAGTATAGTCATTCCCATTCTACAGTAGAGGAACTGAGGCTCACAGATGCTGAGGACCTTGCCCAGGACTTCACTGGTGAGCAAAGGTCTAGGATTCCAATCTGTCCTGCTCCAAGCCTGACCCCACCTTGGAGACCTGGGTAGCTCTGCAGCTCTAGGCATCTTTGCCTCAGCTGTCCCACACAGGGAGACTGGCCCCCTACCAGAGATCCTCAGCCAAGACCTGGCCTCACCCTGGAACATTTAAACTGTGGGCTTTTACTCCCCAAGTGAGCAAAGAAAGGCGTTTCCCCCCAACCCATCCTGCCTGAGATCTCCGTGACCAGGTGCAAATGCTTGGAAATGTCCAGAGTGGCTGCAGCATGTGACATCACCTCTGAGACTTCACTGTGACCTCTCCAGCTTCCCTCATTGGTGCCAACGCCTCATCCTGCTGGGCTCCATGAGAACTTCACTCACCCACCCCAGCGCCAGGCCCCCTCTGGAGCTTAGGTAAGACTGTGAGCACTTGGGAGAGATGAAGGGTGTGTGTGTGTGTGTGTGTGTGTGTGTGTGTGTGTGTGTGTGGTGGGGACCCCAGGGATACCTTGTGGGAAATACTGAGATCCTCTTGTGGTTTTTGCTCTCAACACTGAAACACCCCAGCTACCACTTAGATCTGAATGGCCTTCCATGGAGAACGCCCTGGCCAATTGGCAATGGAGAAACAGCCTTTCCGTCTTCAGTCAGTCCTTCAATCTGTCTGACCACAAGGGCTCCTGACTCAGAGACTGCTCATCCCTGCTTCTGGCCTGGAGTCCAGCCTCAGGAAAGTACCTCAGGGATCCTTCTGTCACTAGCCTCCTCCTTAGACCCCCACAGTCCCCATACTTCCCGTCAGGGGGCCCACGAATGAAGGCAGAGCTCACCTGGAGCCTCAGTCTGGACTGAGAGGCTGCTCAGATGGAGACACCTGGCCTCCGCTGGTGCAGACCCCGCGTGTACCTCAGCTCTGCTCTCCCTCCGCACATAAAAGGTTCTTCCAGGGTTTGCAGGACAAGGAACGTCCTGCACACTAACAGGAAATACCAGACATCCCCCCACCTCTCCGCTCCAGGGTCTCTGGTGGTGATTCCACTCTGAGGAGACCCCTGGGCTTCCAAGGCCCCTGACAGGCTGCGCTGTCTGGTGTTACGCAGAAAAGCAGAACCGAACCTGGCGGTGGGACCCTGTGAAGAAGAGGACAGCAGACACTCCCAGGATGGCTGGGCCAGAGGGACACTGGGTCCTGGTCCCCTTGTGGCCTCCTTTTTTATACTGTCAGGCCATCTGGGAGTCCTGCAGCAAGATACCAGCTCCTCTCTGCTCCTCTACAGAGATTTTGGGTGCCTGGGGCCTGCTGGGCTGTCTCCAGTCACAGAGCATCTGCACTTGGCTCTGCTGCCCAAGGAGGAAGGTGACATGTGTGAG